TCCCCTCCAGAGTTTCTGGCTCTCTTCTGGTGCTTTGAAGGGGTTAAAGAAGAACCCAGTGTGACGATCGCGCATCAGACCCCAGCCCTTCTCACCAAACTCGTGACCGAAGGACTAGCCAATCTAAAACCGCAATGTCACGTGCGTAACAATGCCACGCCCAGCTGCACCCTGCACAATGATTTTCCACAAATCGATGTACCGGCAGCCTGGGAGCGATTGTTACTGGGTCAGGTTAATTACGCAATTAACCCTTCACACTCTCACCACCTCCTTTTTGTACAGAGAAAGAGGAAACTCGGCGATTTCAGCAATAACACTATGATGGTTGAGATAATTGTCTGTATAGCACTGTCACCGCAGGCAGGTTATGCAGAGGTTTAAACAAAAACACAGTAGCGCTCTTTTAGAGGCAGGAATTTGTAAATTGCATTAAGGAGCTTTAGAAACAGTTCAACACTTTCAGAAAGAAGGATTTATTACTAAAAGGTCAAAAGGGTGCAATAAAAATAATTACAGAAAAAGATGTAACCAATATATATAAATATACAGAGAAAAACAGCACAGCAAAGAGATAACAGAGAGAAGTTAGAGTGTTAAAGTGCTTGCCAAAGTCCTGGGCTAAGCAGATCAAGTTTCAGAGCTAAAGGGCATGGTCTCCCAAGGTGGTTCTGATGTTAACGGGGAGAATTCTTCAACTTACTCTCTTAGGCCTGACAGCCCATTTTGTAGTCCCCCTGCAGGGGGTGTCTCTAAACCCAAGGACCAATGCTTCATTTAGGGAGGGAAGGTCTGGGCGTAGACCTAAACTTGAGCCAAAATCTCTCCTAGTTCATATTTTGGCTCATAACTTTTCGTATGCACAAGTGACATTCCACCCGCGGGTAGATTACTATGCAGATGCATCTGAAGAACGGTTGGATATGAAATATGATATACATACTCAAAGGGTTCCAGAGATGCAATTTTCTGCTGTCCTAGGTATTCCAGTCAGGGAGTGTGACCCATCAAACTGTTTGTCTTCTCGTGGCCAATCTGAAGATATACCTGGTTTTTATGTAAGTCTCACTCTCATATTCCAAGATATGAGACATAGGGGAAAAATGGATTTTAAAAGTGTTATCTAGTCTCTACTCTAAAATGTGTTTGAACTCAGGGGAAGGCTTGGGTTATCTTTTTACGAGGTGCCAGATTACTCCGCTTCCCAGCCCGCCTGCCACCCAGCTTAAAGATGGTTTATAGCTTGGAGCTCCCTGCTGTGGCCTGACCGGCCTGTGACACTTCCAACACACACACACACACAACCAGATGTCACTGTAACTCTCAGAGAGGGAGAATGAGGGGGAATATGTTTGTACAAGATCGTTGACCCTTTGCCAAGATGGGGGTTGGAGCCAAAATGGTTGAACAGCGTCCATCTCTGGGTATACGCTTGCCACACCCAGAGGTGGAGCAATTTATTTCTGCTGCTGCTTGTATTGGCAGGATGTTTACTGTGCCAATCACATAGGATGAATAGGAGAGGAGGGTCAGCAGGGATTGCCCGCACAAGCAGCAGCAGTAGTAAGATGCTCTGCCCTGGGGTTCTTCCTTAACCCCTGCAAAAAATTGGGGGGGGGGGTGATAGAGCTGAGGTGGGTTATAAGAAGGAGGGGGGAGTAGATGAGGGATAAGTAGAGATCTGGAGTGAAACTGAGAGATCCTGGTCTGTATATGAATAAAAGAGGAGGATTTGTGCTGGCATGAGGGAAAGGGGAGGAGAGGTAAATAGATGGAGGTCAAGGGGACTGGAGAGGGATGGTCAGGGATGGAAATGGGGAATACTGCTGTCTGGTGAGGAAGTATAATTAAAGCAAATAGGCTGACTGGGGAGTGATCTCCATTGCATAGTACATGTTGTAAAGTGCTGCGCAAACTGTTGGCGCTCTATAAATCTTATATAATAATGGTACAGAGACAGTGTGGGGCAGTGTGCAGGGAGGGCGATTCCAGCCATTTGTAGTGTTTGTGTATGGAGGGGACACACACCTGTATGAAGGTGAAGGGCCTCCACAGAAGAAGCAGATAGATGAGGAGGGAGGGGGAGTGAACTGGAGGGACTCCAGGAAGAGAATTCCAGCTGTTTAGGGAATGAGGCTGTAAATTAGCAGGACTGCTGAGCTGGGAGAAGGGAGCGAGGGTTAACAATGATCTGAGAGAGAGAGAGGCAGTGTGAAGATGAAAGGGAGCAGGATGAGATAGTGGCTGAGATGGGGCAAAGATGCTGGGACAATGAAGACAGCTGGAGATGAGAGGCACAGATAACAGAACTGACCTGAACTGAAAGAGGAGGAACTGTTGTCAGGAAACTGCAAGGCTCCCCCCATGCACTTAGGGCCCCAGGGAAGTTCCCAGAGGTGCTTGTGCATATTAAGGCAGCCCTAGGAAAGGACCCACTCTCAGTCCTGACACATTCCTCTGTTTTCTCTTGGCGCCCGGCAGGAGAGACACAAAGAGGGCATCCTTCCAGTAACTGCCACACCACACTGATCCGCCTCCCTCTCTGGGCCCCCTACAGGAGGACCGGAGGTCCCCCCCCTATCAGCAGCCCTGTCCGCAATGTCCACATTCTGCAGTTCTAGTTTGTCACAAAAGTCATTACGTTGTTCTGGGAATCTCAGCCTTGCTGATTTCCCATATTTCCATCCAATCAGGCATGCTGGGAATCCCTAGTTATATCAAACTCTTTTTCTCCCTCGTCTGATCCAATAGAGGTTTCAACGATCTTCTTCTAGCTAATGTCTCAGATGCAATGTCTGCAAAAATTTGCAACTTTCTTTCTCCAAAGTTTATTTCGGGGATCTCCCGCAGTCTTTTCCATATTCTCTCTCTATCCTCATCATGATGGAAATGAACAATCTCGTCTCTTGGGATGTCTGGTGTTACTCCTGGCAGGCGTCTTAACCTATGTACTCTCTCAACTTTCTAAGGATCTGTGGCTAATCTACCTTTTATTGGGTTAAACACCCTTCTTATTTTTTCCCGAATGTCTTCTTCATGCAAATGTTCTTGTAGTCCCCGAATCCTTAAATTATTTCTTCTCTCTCTATTCTCTTGATCTTCCAATTTGAATGAGAGCTTCCTCTGTTCCCTTCACATCTTTTCCACTTGCATCTCCAAGTTAGTAATCCGCAGGGCCTGTGTCTTAATTTTCTCCTCAACTTCTACTCTTGTTAACATTTTGTCCCCATTTTGGGGACATGATCCACCAATGTAAAAACAAAAGTATAATTGTATTTCTAAAAAACATGTGTTGAAAACACCTGGAGAAATTGTTAATCAATGCCTAGACCCTTGGTACCCAACATGCAGCTCACAAGCTGTTGAACGCCAATTTAATGAACTCATTGGACACGGCAGAACATGAAACTGGTCACAGCGATCACATGGCACAGGGCCAATCAAAATTATTATAAATGTAAACAAAGGCTACATGTTGCAGCCACCACTGTGTTTCCTCTCACACATCAATCAGCTGTGAGAGGAAAAAGAGTGTTTCCAACTGTGAAAGAGTAAAGTAGCATATACAGAGGACGCCACTCTCCCAGCCAGTCTGTATGAGATAGTAACATGGAGCGTCCTCAGCCTATGCTCCATAAATCACACCCTCTGATGTGTTTTGCCCCATCCATTGTGTCTTAGTCATAGACCTCTGACTAAACCCTGATTGGCAGGGTATAATGCGTCGAAGGCCATGATTTGCGGAGAAGCATAGGCTGAGGCCACTCCTTTTTTCTATCTCATATGGTGTGGCCGGGAGAGTGGTGTCCTCTGTGTATGATACGTTTGCCATTTTTAGATGAGAGCATATGGACACTGGCACCCCCATTCCTAAGGATCAAGGGAACAATCTCCTCCATAGCTTAGAGCAGTGCTCCAAGCTCTTCTTTTTCAGGTCATACCAGTAAAGTGTCACTAAACCAGTGCAGCCACAGTGTCCCTGATTGCAAGCCACCCCAGTCCCAGTGTTACCATTGCACCCAGCAATAGTATCCCCAATTGCTAGTCATGGTGTCCACTGCAGCCAGCCAGTGTCACTGACTGCCACCAGACCAGTGTTCACCAGCAATAGGGTTCCCGATTCCCACCAAACCAGTGTCAGTGATGCCAGATCAGCAGTGTTCCTGATCGCTGCCACACCACTCAGTGTCACCAGACCAGTGTAAACCATCAACAGTGTTCCTGCTTGCCATCACACCAATGTGAGCCAGCAACAGTGTTCCTAATCAATGCCACACCCGTTCCAGGGTCTCAAGACCAGTGAGGCCAGCAACAGTATTCCTGATTGCCACCATACCAGTCACAGTGTCACCAGACAAGTGTAAGTCATCAGCATCTAGCCACAGCAGTGCCAGAGAAAGCTAGCACCAGTGTCTTGACCATAGCAATACAGTGTTACCATAATGACACTGTACTACGGGACGGTGATAAGGATTGTTTTTTTTACCACACTATGATTATGTATAACAGTGGTAATCACTGAATCACTGTTATAAGCAACCATTTTTATGAATGACATCCATTCATTAAGTGTGTACTATTGTGAAGCTGTGATTGGTCATAGTTATCACATGGTGCAGATGCACTGTGATTGGCCCTGTCTGTACCATGTGATAACTGTGACCAACCAACCAATTGTACACATAAACAGCTATTGTACATACATATGGCATGTAAACAGCGATCACATGTTAATGGCCCAGTAAACTGATCTGTCATCCTCTGTGCTTCGTGGACACAGCAAGTGACAGATCACACCACAGCGTGGCCCCATCCTTTGAGGACGTCATATGACCTGGAAATGAAGGAGGATTAACATACTGGTCTTCAGGGGATTACCGTATATACTCGAGTATAAGCCGACCTGAATATAAGCCGAGGTACCTAATTTTACCACAAAAAACTGGGAAAAAACTATTGACTCGAGTATAAGCCGCGGGTGGGAACACCAGTGGGAAGAATCGTGCCTCATTATTGGTGTCAGTGGGAGGAATAGTGCCCCATCATTGGTGTCAGTGGGGGAATAGTGCCCCATCATTGGTATTAGTGGGAGGAATAGTGCCCCATCATTGGTGTCAGTGGGAGGAATAGTGCCCCATCATTGGTATCAGTGGGAGGAATAGTGCCCCATCATTGGTATCAGTGGGAGGAATAGTGCCCCATCATTGGTATCAGTGGGAGGAATAGTGCCCCATCATTGGTGTCAGTGGGAGGAATAGTGCCCCATCATTGGTGTCAGTGGGAGGAATAGTGCCCCATCATTGGTGTCAGTGGGAGGAATAGCGCCCCATCATTGGTGTCAGTGGGAGGAATAGTGCCCCATCATTGGTATCAGTGGCAGGAATAGTGCCCCATCATTAGTATCAGTGGGGAGAATAGCACCCCATTATTGGTGTCAGTGGAATAGTGCCCCATCTTTGGTGTCAGTGGGAGGAATAGTGTCCCATCATTGGTGTCAGTGGGAGGAATAGTGTCCCAACATTGGTGTCAGTGGGAGGAATAGTATCCCATCATTGGTGTCAGTGGGGGGGTGGAGGAATAGTGCCCCATCGTTGGTGTCCGTGGGGGGGAGGAATAGTATCCCATGATTGGTGTCAGTGGGGGGTGGAATAGTGCTCCATGATTGGTGTCAGTGGGGGGTGGAATAGTGCTCCATGATTGGTGTCAGTGGGGGGTGGAATAGTGCCCCATCATTGGTGTCAGTGGGGGGGGGGGGAGGAATAGTGCCCAATCGTTGGTGTCAGTGGGGGGGAGGAAAAGTGCCCCATCGTTGGTGTCAGTGGGAGGAATAATGCCCCATCATTGGTATCAGTGACACCAATGATGGGGCACTATTCCTCCCACTGACACTTGCTGACCCCTGTTCCAGTATGGTGCTGCTGCAGCCAGCATATGTGGTTGCAGCAGCACCTAAGCACGGCACACTTATCTGCATCTCCTTCACTCGATTTTCGCGGGGGCCGCTCAGCTCTGCCTCCTCGCCGGTGATTGGCCGCCTGTGTGCCTTTCCTGAGCTACAGTTCTGGCGGCCAATCACCGGTGAGAAGGCGGAGCCGAGCAGCCGCGCGAACATCCAGTGGACGAACCGAATGAAGGAGCAGCCGCGCTTCCTGGACCGGATTGTCGTGGGACCGGAGCCAGCTAAGAGACAGCAGCCCCCTGCCCACCCCTGTACTTAGTTTCCCTTCTGTTGGAAGGGGGGGGGAGCCATCTGCAGACGTTGACTCGAGTATAAGCCGAGGGGGCCGTTTTTCAGCACAAAAAATGTGCTGAAAAACTCTGCTTATACTCGAGTATATACGGTAACTTTATTCCCTGACTACAAATTATACTGAGGCTTGTTTATTTTTCCTTACTTTCATTTTTATAGGCTTAACATTAAGTCTAGGTTCACACTAATGCGGTGTGGTACATCACATGTGATTCATACAGGAACCGCACTGCATTCCTGTGCAAATCACATGCGATCTGTGTGCGGTGCGATTGGAGCCATACATTTTGTATGGCTCAAATCGCACCGGACCCGCACCAAAAAGGTGCAGGACCCTTTTTTGGGTCCGCACTAGAATCGGATCGAATGGGTATTCACACCTATGCGATCCGATTCTGCACCTCGCACCACATTTTGCAGACCGATTTCGGCGTGTTATTAACTTATACACACCCACATTGGTTCTCATGAACGAGGTACGATTCTGATGCAGTGCGAAAGTCGCACAGAAAACGCTGCAAATTCCACACCGCATCAGTGTGAACCCAGCCTAAAGAATATGCAAACCCAACACTTCATATTCCTGATGTGTATCTGCTGTGCTTGTATGAAAAAGTATCCTGTTCTCTTTGAATTGCTTCTTTTGTGTGAAATCCCTGGTGTAATTGTCAGTCTATCTGTTTTCCTAATAAAAACTGACCATGCTAAGCATGAGAGCACACAGCGGTCAGTTCTCTGGCTATGCTGGAAACTCAGTCTGCTCTCCTCCAATGATCAGACTTGTCATGACATGCCCTCCTGTACAGCCATTCACGAGGACGATCAGTGTTCTGCTGTTGGTCCTTCTTCACCTCTCTATACAGCTGAGAATAGAGGGAATGGTAATCACTTATAAAAAGGGGGGAAAAGGTAATTATAATGTTTTTTTTTTTATCTATAAACAAACGATTTGCCTTTCATTTATATTTTAACCACTTGTCCTCCAGAGGATTTACCCCCTTCCTGACCAGGCCATTTTTACGATGCCTTGCTGTGTTACTTTAACTGACAATTGTGTGATCATGCAACGTTGTTCATAAATTAAATTTCTGTCCTTTTTTTCCCACAAATAGAGCTTTCTTTTGGTGGTATGTGATCACCTATGCAGTTTTTATTTTTTGCACTTTGAAAAAAAAAAAGACTGACAAGTTTTTAATAAAAAACAGTATTTTTGACTGTTTGCTATAAATCATATCCTGTAAAAAAAAAAGTAAAATAAAATTTCTTTATAAATTTAGGCCAAAATGTAATCTGCTACATGTCTTTGCTAAAAAAAAAATCCCAATACGTCTAAATGAGTTGGTTTATGTGAAAGTTATAGCATCTACAAATGGCGGTATATATACTGCAGGACTGCGGCGGGCATTCTGACACTGGGTGGTTACTAACTGCTAACTGACATCCTCTGTGACACTAATACAGTGATCATTGCTAATAAAAAGCACTGTCACTGTACTAATGACACTGGGCTGGAAGGGGTTAACATCTGGGGCGATCAAAGGGTTAACAGTATACTGTGTTGTGTTTTGCTATGTAAACAGCAATACAAAGTAGCCTGTCCGTGCTGACAGGGGAGAGATCTGTGTTCTTTACACACATACCTCTCCCCTGTCAGCTGTCGATCACCGAGTTCTGGCCGAGAATCGGCAGCCGGGACTCAGTGATTGACATGCCAAGGAGCCAATAGTGGCAAAATCACGTGTATATACAGTGAGGAACAGAAGTATTTGAACACCCTGCGATTTTGCAAGTTCTCCCACTTAGAAATCATGGAGGGGTCTGAAATTCACATTGTAGGTGCATTCCCACTCTGAGAGACAGAATTAAAAAAAAAAATCAGGGAATCACATTGCATGATTTTTAAAGAATTTATTTGTCTTGCACTGCTGAACATAAGTATTTGAACACCTAAGAAACAGCAAGAATTCTGGCTCTCAAAGACCTGTTGCTGTGCCATTAAAGTCCACCTCTACTCCATTCATTAATCTAACTTAGTAGCACCTGTCTGAGCTCTTTAAAGACACCTGTCCACCCTATAGTCAGTCAGACGTCAACCACTACCATGGGCAAGACCAAAGAGCTGTAAAAGACACCAGAGACAAAATTGTGGACCTTCACAAGGCTGGAAAGGGCTACGGGGCAATTGCCAAGCAGCTTGGTGAAAATAGATCAACTGTTGGAGGAATTGTTAGAAAATGGAAGAGGCTAAAGACGACTGTCAGTCTCCCTCGGACTGGGACTCCATGCAAGATCTCACCTTGTGAGGTATCACTGATGATAAGAAAGGTGAGGAATCAGCCCAGAACTACGAGGGAGGAGCTGGTCAATGACATGAAGAGAGCTGGGACCACAGTTTCAAAGGTCATTGTTGGTAGAAACACTACACCGTCATGGTTTCAAATCATGCATTGCACGGAAGGTTCCCCTGCTCAAGTCATCACATGTCCAGGCCCTGAAGTTTGCCAATGAGCATCTGGATGATCCAGAGGAGGCATGGGAGAAAGTCAGATGAGACCAAAGTAGAACTTTTTGGTCTAAACTTCACTCGTCGTGTTTGGAGGAAAAAGGATGAGTTGCATCCCAAGAACACCATCCCTACTGTGAAGCATGGGGGTGGTAACATCATGCTTTGGGGGTGCTTTTCTGTGAAGGGGACAGGATGACTGCACTGTATTAAAGAGAGGATGAATGGGGCCATTTATTGTGAGATTTTGAGCAACAACCTCCTTCCCTCAGTCAGAGCATTGAAGATGGGTCGTGGCTGGGTCTTCCAACATGACAACAACCCGAAGGACACAGCCAGGATAACCAAGGAGTGGCTCCGTAAGAAGCATATCAAGGTTCTGGAGTGGCCTAGCCAGTCTCCAGACCTAAATCCAATAGAACATCTTTGGAGGGAGCTGAAACTCCATGTTGCTCAGCAACAGCCCCAAACCTGACAGATCTAGAGAAGATCTGTGTGGAGGAGTGGGCCAGGTTTGCAGTGTGTGCAAACTTGGGCAAGAACTACAGGAAACGTTTGACCTCTGTAATTGCAAACAAAGGCTTCTGTACCAAATATTAACACTGATTTTCTCAGGTGTTCAAATACTTATGTTCAGCAGTGCAAGGCAAATAAATTCTTTAAAAATCATACAATGTGATTTCCTGAATTTGTTTTTTAAATTCTGTCTCTCAGAGTGGGAATGCACCTACAATGTGAATTTCAGACCCCTCCATGATTTCTAAGTGGGAGAACTTGCAAAATCGCAGGGTGTTCAAATACTTCTGTACCTCACTGTATACATGATGTTGCACATCCCTGCCGCCCTGTAGCAGTACTTCTGCTATAGGGTGGTCGGAAGCGGTTAAACTGAATGGGTTGTTTTAGAAGGTAAAGGTTTACAATCACTTTAAATGGACATTATTTTTTGGTTGAAATATGCCAGGGCCATATTGCTGGTGAGATATAGTATGGACATTGTTTGCCTTTTTCTTTCTAAATTCCAGCTCCCCTATGTACAAATATACCATTACTTCTGTTGTGAAAATAGAAAAGATTTCTATTTATCCTACACAACCCTTACCTCTGTATCCAGCTGGCTGTATAAAAAAAAAGTCTCTATTACTTCTTAGACCGACCTTAGGACGTGACACAGGAAGGAGTTCACAGCTGACATAGCACATGCATCTGCCAACCCCCCTTTCAGCATATCACTACCACCCACCTCCTCAGGTACAAGTTTTTCCAGTGCAATCAGTCAATATCATTCTCACTAAATACACAGCCATAGATCGTTCATTTGGCAGTGAGTGAGCATGAGCTGATCTATCAGATAACGGCCTATGTGGATAAGAGCTGTTGTACTGGAAAAAGGAGAAGTATGTCCTGGGTTCTGTAAAATTCACCATACACTATGCAATCTGATTGTACAATTTCCATTAGATCTACCATCAACTATGTAGGGCCTGCCTGATTGGATACAGAATGATTGGATAGAGGGTGTCTCCTCCTATTATATAGTTTTCATCATGTTGATGTTCTGGGTGGTGATTAACTTATGGTACATGTACGTATACTGTGACTTCTGAGGAACCTAACAGAGATACTTGCTAAATTTTGGGGCCCGTTGGCCCCAATTCTATAGTATGTGTACTGACTGGACTATATCTTCCGCACTGCTGACTCCTTGTGTTTGTTGGATTTATCACCTGAGTTTGCGAGTTATAAAGACGTTTATGTAAGGGTTATATTGTGGTGAAGCTGTTTTTATCCAGTCTGTGTCACTTTTGTGGTCATCATTGTCCTTCGCCCCATTTTTGGACCTTTGAGACACCCTAATAAAAATCTCCCCTTTTCGGGTATATTTTACATCCAGTCTTATATATATTGCTCCCATACCCACCGGGGGGGGGGGGGGGTGGAGATCCAGTCCTAGTGCTCTTCAGTTTGCTGGTCTCCCTAATGGATTCATTGGATGTCCTGCTTTCCCAAATACTCCTGAAGAAGCAGACAGAACTGCGAAACAT